CAAGATGGATGGAAGAAAGAAAGGCCAAAACAAAAGAAGATATTATTTCCCAAAAATATAAATGTACAGTTTGGGACAAGCCTGAAAGTGTAGCTAAAGTAGCAGATATAGTGGTGGTTGATGTGGAGGGAAAAACTTCAGTATAACTGTTATGCCTGGACCCCTCCTCCTTCATAAGGACTAATCTGGTACCTTGGAAAATGTGACGACAGGCAACCTTCTTTCTCAGCATCTCACAGGGTCACCCACTCTAGACTCCTCCCTGGTCTGCAGATAGGATCAAAATAGGTCCTGCAGTCAAGTGGAATGTGTGCCATCAAATACTGACCAGAGGCTTGTCTGGAAAACTGATCCCAAAAAAGGTGCGAAAGGGTCTGGTTTCTGGCAGCTTTAAACTCATCGGTGTCAAAGATTGATTTCTGGGAAAAGGGCAGTAAATCTAACCAACTCCCTACCTTGCCTGACTTTTCGCTACCTGGCCATCCTAAGTAAATACTTAGTTAAAACCATTTTAATCCCATAATCCTTTGTGTAATAGTTGTCTTCTCCTGGCAGTTAGAGGTCACCAAACACAATAGATATTTCACATGAATGTTACATTTCTCTTGCAATTCCTGGGAACGTTATAAAGCTTCCTTGCTGTTAAGTCCTGAGCTTAACAAAGAGTCAGAGAGTGATTCCAGCCAAAACTCAAGTTTATTCTTCTTCACGATCACTTCTCCAACACAGTACAACATCTGATAGCCCGAACAGTTTGCCCATTGAAACTGCTCGGTATTTAAACATTCCCGGCTAATATAGCCACTCCTACTTTACAGATAACAACCTATCAGGTTGATCGCATAAGGACCAATCACACACGTTCCCGCTTCCAGCTTGCTTGAATGTGATTGGATGCATTTGTCTTGGACTTGAATCCCTGTCCAAGACGAAGCTTTACATTGCTTCCCAATGAGATGTTTCACGTTACATCTAATGCATTCATGGCAGCATCTGAATACATTTCAATTGCTCAGACAACTATAACCATCACAGCATTGTTTTAGGAGCAATCACGTCATGCTCTAAGGGATATAACCAGACACACTTTGTTCAGTAATGTGTGTGTGTAATTTACACCCCCAACACAAGGATGGATAAACTGCCGTGAGTGAGACACTGGTTCATTTTGCTTGTCTTCCTTTTCAAATCTTTGTTCTTTGGATAGGTAAAAGTAGTCCCATAGAATAAGTTCCCTTCTTTGTCTCTATAAAGCTACCACCTTGTAAGTGTTTTTATAGGGTGCTCTTAAATTAAGAAGTCTGATTTCATTTCTTTAATTTTTAATAAAAACCATTTCATTAATCACGGCCTGATTCATTTTGAGAGTTCTACTGAGGGAAAAAATCCCCATATACATAGGTGGAGATCCTGCTTGATTACCCCCTCACATTGTTTGGGTTTCCTGACTAATTCCCTAACAAACTCAGGAGACTGTCACAACCACATAGGGTAACATAACCCAAAAATTGTATTTGGTGCCCTCAGGAAAAATCTGTCCCTCAGAAAACCAACCAGACTATGTGGGCTCCCCCAACCAGAAAGAAGCCAGAAAAGCCTTGATGTTTCTACTGTCAGGGAAAGGGGCATTCAAGATACAAATGTCCCAAATTAGTAAAGCCCACTACCCCAGGTTCAGCAAAACCATTAAATGTAGTCACACAGGTTGAGGTAGAGGTAAATACCCAGGGGACCAAAACAGTAACAGACCCTGAGGGAAAATGTGCAGGTTGCCCAAGGCAGAACATGAGGATTACATGGAAATGGTGGAAATTAATCAGTCTCAGGTGTTGGCATGCAGAGACTTTGGTGTGCATGTGACAATTGTCAAACCTGAATTAGTGAAGCTTCAAAAATATTTTCCAGGAAAAGAAAAGGATATAAAAGCCTAGGGAGGCCACAGTTTAATGAGCCTATAGCCAGGGTCCCTTTGACATATAGGATATGGGAGGGAGAATGGGAGGCAGGAGTTTATTCTGACATGCCCTCCCCCACTTTTCTGGAAGATTATTTGGCAGCCATGTTCTGTCAAGTCAGTCCATTGAGCAGAATAGAGGTTAAACAGAGGGGTTAAACAGAATATTTTGAATCAGCAACCCAACAGGTAGGCAGAGTGGACAACCATTTCTCAAACCACCAAGAACTAGGATTTTCATAGGAACCAGACGGGCAACCCCTGGCACCTTCATAGCGAACAGTAGGCCAATGAGACACTAACAGAGGTGAAAGAACTGTCTCGAAGAATGCTAAAGCAATGTCTGTGGAACATCCAGTGAGATTTGCAATAACAAGGGAAGTTGTATTGGGATGCGCTAAAGGGACAGTTCGTTGCAGCATGGGAGAAACAAGTGCAGTTAGTTAGCCGAGCTGCTTTATCTACAACAGCTGGCATACTAAATTTAAATATGGGTTATTTGCCTGTGTATACCAAGGTCCAACCCACCCCAAGGGTTCGTCAGTGAAAGATTTGAGACAGGTGTGTTCCAAAACAATCTGTCTTTTACTTAAGAATATATAAATCACATACACACAAATCAGATTCACACACACAATCAAACAAGTTCCTCAGAAATACAGGATTAACAATAGTCACTTTAGCATTCACAGGTAGGGTAATGGGTAGCAATACTTGTCTGTCCTGAAGCTTGCACGTCACAATGAAGAATGAGGGTTAGAAAAGTATACTAGAAATATTGAACACACAGCTAGAAACCAGCCAGCATGTGGGGACCTCTTGGCTTCAGACCAAGAGATCAAGTAGGAACAAAGGATTTTTGGATAGGAAGCTGGGCATGAGAGGAGATTAAAAGCAGACAGGGGGTGTTGGGGGGAAGGTGGCTAGCAAGGACCAGACCACTGGTCCTTACCTTTTATAGGTGGATCTTTGGGTGGGTGGCATCTATGCCAGCTTGTGGACCCACCTACCTGTAAGTCCGTCCCAAAACTAACCTCATTGGTTGTGTGCAGTGAGGGGTGGCTACCTAAAGGCTGGGCAATATTGAAACTCTAGATCTAACTCAAGGGATGGCATCTGGTGAAGTGTGAAAGTTTGGTGTCAAGGAACCTCCTTGATGTGTAGATGAAGCTCAGCCTTTCCCAGGTAATCAACGAGGCATCTGGCAGGAAACCATCAATTCAGATGTAAAGCAGAGATGTGTAGTGTGTGTCTTTCAACAGTTCATCAATGGGGGATGCTTTTCCTTCAGTTGTTGTTTGCTGACAATAATGGCGATTTGTGCTTCTTCTTCCCTCAGGCTAGTGGCTGTGTATTAGGAACCTCATTAGCATGCAAGGCTTAGAGCAAGTCACCATCTATGCGTATCTCACAACAGATGACTTGTTCAGCTTTCTTGAGCCTATGGGTGTGTTTGTGTGCACAGTCCATGTAGTGTTGGCAGCAAATATAAATCCATCAAGCAAATATTAATCTAATTTCTCAACAAGTTGGTTGTCTCAAGGAAATGCAGAGTGCAGCTATGCTCAGCGGTCCATGACAGTTCCTTCTCTGGACATTTTATTTATTTATTTATTTCCTTCACCTTATATACCTGAGGGCTCCGAGCGGTTTACATGTTCAGTTAATACCAGTCCTTACCTAGGGCCACATACATACAATGGGGAGAGTGACTAGCCTAACAGGCACCCTCTAGCGAGTCTTTTTTGTTATCTGCGGGAGATCTTTTTCCCGGTCCGGCTTCTCGAATTATGAGTGACAAAAACATAGCAGAGACTGTCCCAATGGTTTTATTGGCCAGAAATGGAGGAAAATATAACTGAAATTCACAAGACATGCTAAAGGCAAGGTTGCATCTATCATAGAGGGCCCTTCGCACATGTGGGGATTGACACCATAGGACAGTTGAATAAGCCCTCTAGGAAGGGAAATAAATGTATCCTAACTTTGGTGGACTTTCTTTCCTGATTTCCTGTAGTGGTGCCTCTGAGAAATGTAGATACACAAAGGCTGTGGTCACACACACTAAACAATCCACTTTCAATCCACTTCCAGTGCACTCTCCAACTGGATTTTACTGTGATAACTGATAAAATCCAGTTGGAAAGTGCATTGAAAGTAGATTGGAAGTGAATTATTTAGGGTGTGTGACCACAGCCAAACAGTTCCAAATGCCGAACAAACGGTGGCACCTTTAAGACCAACAAAGTTTTACTCCAGGTATAACTTTTCATGTGCATGCACATTTCTTCAGATACAGGTGCCCTCATGTCTCTTTTTCTGTTGGCTAGGTTTCCCAAAAGAGATGATCTTGGCACCTTATTAGTGTCATCTTTAATTCTATCCTTGAACAAAGATTCCCAATTGTTCATTTTCCTCTCCTTGGAATTCTCCCACGGGCTCCAAAGTTGTATGGGTATAACAGTGGCCTATGTTACAGAGCTGTTGTATACATTGTTGACATGTAAAAAGCTTTGACACTTGGAATTCAGTGTGACAGTATTTATTTATTTATTGTATATTCTGCCTTTCTTCCCAATAGGAACCCAAACCAGCTTATACCTTTCTCCTCTCCTCTGTTTTATCCTCACAACAACCCTGTGAGGTGGGTAAGGCTGAGAGCTTGCGACTGTCCCACGGTGACCTAGCGAGCTTCCATGGTGGAGTACCAAGCAATGCTCCCTCTAAGCTGTGGAGTCTTGTGGACAAAAATTCTACTTTGTGAACCACTGGCATTAAAGTTGTGAGCGAGAGATTTGGCTACTGCATACATTAGTTTGTTCTGGAGCCATCCTTCCTGACCTAAGACAAAAAATGTGTGAGCCGGAGGTTAAAAACCTGTGAGCTCGCTCACACTAGCTCAGCTTAGAGGGAACACTGGTACCAAGCAATATTATTGTTTTCAAAACCTGCCTGATGTATGTATCTCCATTTTCTACTATTGATTCACAATAACCAGATGACACAAGGGTATACGTTACAATACGCATTTTATTGGACAAAATAACACCAAAAAAAAGTGAAAGGAGAATTCAAACAACTTAACCAAGAACAAACAAATAGTGGTCTGATTTATACAAAATTTGGAAGTGCTCTGAGGAAAAGAAAGGGGGCAGGTTGCACATGAGTGCAAAATATGATCAAGGCAGGCCTTGATACAATCTGGAATGTCTGTAAAGCAGAGCTTGGGGGGGAGTAATGCCAAGTATGATGAAACAAGCTAGATGTTTACCAAAGCAATTAACGCTGTAGGAGCAGATGTTTCTCTGTAGCATGACGGACATTAGTGAGACCCAGTACAGTGTCAGAAACCGGCAGAGATTTCATTGGAAGAGACTGAGGGAGATAGCAGTTTACTTCCTGCAGCTTCTTTGAGAAGAGGAGCTCGAAACAAATTTCATGCCGGAGCAGCTGCCGCCCCCGAGGCTCACCCCTCCTCCGATGCCTCTTCCGCTTCCGGAACTGAAGCCGCCTCCTCCGACACCAAGTCCGCCCCCAAGGCCTACGCATCCTGCTCCCATGCCAAATCCACTTCCTCCTCCCAGGCTGAGGCTGTTTCCACCTCCGTAGCAGGCAGCACCACCGCGATTCATGGTCGAAGACACAACCGCTGTGGAAAGAAAAGGACGCAGCTCATTGAGAATTGGCCCCTCAGTGGAGTGAAATAAATGGAGGGGAAGGGGAAGATCCCATTGTCTACTCTGCAGGGCAAAAAACGGGGTAAGATCAGGCAAATGGGCCCTTAAACCAGCTCAGCCTGATGAGTTATGGCATCGCATCATGCGGCAAAACATCCAGGATACCCTGCTAGTGAAATGATGTTGTGAAAGTCACTGCCAGTGGACATAGTGATCGCCATAAACGTGTGTGTGTGTGTGTGTGTGTGTGAAGTGCTGTCAAGTTGCAGCTGAGGTGGCTTGCCATTGCCCGCCTCTGTACAGCAACCCTGAATGTCCTTGGTGGTCTCCCACCCAAGTACTAACCAGGGCAACCCTGCTTAGCTTCCACATCATAGGGTTGCCAAACTCCAGGTAGTGGCTGGATATCTCTTAGGATTACAACTGATCTCCAGGCAACAGAGATCAGTTCACCTGAAGAAAATGGCCACTTTGGAAGGTGGACTCTATGGCATTATGTCCCACACCCCGCCCTCCTCAGGCTCCACCCCCCCCCAAATCTCCAGGTATTTCCCAACCTGGAGCTGGCGACACTATTCCAAGATCTGACAAGATCAGGCTAGTCTGCATCATCCAGGTCAGGGTCCCCATAAACACAGATGGCTTTAAAAGAGGGTTAGGCAAATTCAGGGAGGAGAGGTCCATCAATGGCTACTGGACCAAAGGAAACCTCCGTATCTAGAAGCAGCAAACCAGGAGAGGGTCTTGGCCTCTTTGTCATGTTTGTTGGCCCTCTGGGGCAACCGGTTGCTTGCTGTGTGAAAGAGGACGATGGACTAGATACACCACTGATGTGATCCAGCAGGACTTTTCTTATGTTCTTAGTGCAAAGATATAGTTACATCAACACAAGTGCATAGTGTGTAGCCACACTGGGACCAGGGAAAGTTCCCCATTGGCCAGTGATCTGGAGGGGGCTGATGGCCAAAATGAAACTCCAGCACTGTAGAGGCCACTTGGTTGGGACCATTCACCATCAACAGTGATTGGTATCAGCTTACCAATTGCCTCCTCCAGCACCACTGGCAGTTGGCGGTGGGCTAGGGGTAGGTAATGGGTGAGCTGAGACGTATTATTGGTGCTGCTGGCCAGGTCTGAGCTCAATGCTGCCTCTACAGTGCTGGTTTGTGACACTGCAGGGGATGCTCAGTTTGGCTTGCTCCTGGGTCCTTCTAACTTCACCATCTGCCCCCTGGGCCACATATAAGATAACTATGGGTGGAAAGAACGCATGGCAGCATGGAACAGCGGCAACACCATGCAGACCTTTCCATGTAACAGCACCAAGGAATCCTTTTTGCACAGATGTGATCCCAAATAGGAATGTTAAGCAAGGTACTTACAGATGTTGACTGCATTGGCTCCATCATTTCCCAGCCTGTCAGGGGGAGAAAATTGGGGGAGATAAGAATTCAGAGACTGAACATCTGGAGATGGTTCAAAAGAGATAGCATGAGCTTTGGTCAATTAGACAAATTACCAAAGGGGACGGCAGGGCAGTGGGATTTGCACTGCTGTGGTTGTCTAGCTATGCCACTGAGAACACCATCTTGGTCTTAAAATCTTAACATCTGGAACTGAATAGAGGAGCACTGGAAATGTTTTTATGATGTTTATTTACTTGTTTATTAATTGTTTATTGTAATTTAACATTTTATACTGTTTTATTATTACCTGGCATTGTGCCCTGTTAGCCGCCCTGAGCCTTCGGAGAGGGCGGGATAGAAATCCAAATAAATAAATAAATAAATAAATAAATAAATAAATAAATAAATAAATAAATAAATAAAGGGAAGCACTGGCTCATTGTAGCAAAGCCTGCAGTCCTTCTTAGAGATGGGACATTGTATGGGACACATATGTTACTCTGGCCCTCTATCAAATTCTGTCTGTCCATAGTAGGCTCTTCCATTAGTAATCTGAAAACCTTGAATGAATGCCTGATGTGGTTTTGACAGAACTCAAGGTCATTTGTGTTGAGTATTATCCGTAAGAATTTCCCCCCATGTTATCTGAATTGTTGGCCAGTGTTGGGGAGAAGTACATTGCTAGAATAGCAAACCAAGAACCTGCATATGGGAAAAATGGAGCCCACACTTTTTGGACAAAGTCATAAAAAGCGAGCATACCTAAAACTGGATCATCCAGGTCAGGGTCCCCATAAACACAGATGGCTTTAAAAGAGGGTTAGGCAAATTCAGGGAGGAGAGGTCCATCAATGGCTACTGGACCAAAGGAAACCTCCGTATCTAGAAGCAGCAAACCAGGAGAGGGTCTTGGCCTCTTTGCCATGTTTGTTGGCCCTCTGGGGCAACCGGTTGCTTGCTGTGTGAAAGAGGACGATGGACTAGATACACCACTGATGTGATCCAGCAGGACTTTTCTTATGTTCTTAGTGCAAAGATATAGTTACATCAACACAAGTGCATAGTGTGTAGCCACACTGGGACCAGGGAAAGTTCCCCATTGGCCAGTGATCTGGAGGGGGCTGATGGCCAAAATGAAACTCCAGCACTGTAGAGGCCACTTGGTTGGGACCATTCACCATCAACAGTGATTGGTATCAGCTTACCAATTGCCTCCTCCAGCACCACTGGCAGTTGGCGGTGGGCTAGGGGTAGGTAATGGGTGAGCTGAGACGTATTATTGGTGCTGCTGGCCAGGTCTGAGCTCAATGCTGCCTCTACAGTGCTGGTTTGTGACACTGCAGGGGATGCTCAATTTGGCTTGCTCCTGGGTCCTTCTAACGTCACAATCTGCCCCCTGGGCCACATATAAGATGACTATGGGTGGAAAGAACGCGTGGCAGCATGGAACAGCGGCAACACCATGCGGACCTTTCCATGTAACAGCACCAAGGAATCCTTTTTGCACAGATGTGATCCCCAAACAGGAATGTTAAGCAAGGTACTTACAGATGTTGACTGCATTGGCTCCATCATTTCCCAGCCTGTCAGGGGGAGAAAATTGGGGGAGATAAGAATTCAGAGACTGAACATCTGGAGATGGTTCAAAAGAGATAGCATGAGCTTTGGTCAATTAGACAAATTACCAAAGGGGACGGCAGGGCAGTGGGATTTGCACTGCTGTGGTTGTCTAGCTATGCCACTGAGAACACCATCTTGGTCTTAAAATCTTAACATCTGGAACTGAATAGAGGAGCACTGGAAATGTTTTTATGATGTTTATTTACTTGTTTATTAATTGTTTATTGTAATTTAACATTTTATACTGTTTTATTGTTATTACCTGGCATTGTGCCCTGTTAGCCGCCCTGAGCCTTCGGGGAGGGCGGGATAGAAATCCAAATAAATAAATAAAGGGAAGCACTGGCTCATTGTAGCAAAGCCTGCAGTCCTTCTTAGAGATGGGACATTGTATGGGACACATATGTTACTCTGGCCCTCTATCAAATTCTGTCTGTCCATAGTAGGCTCTTCCATTAGTAATCTGAAAACCTCGAATGAATGCCTGATGTGGTTTTGACAGAACTCAAGGTCATTTGTGTTGGGTATTATCCGTAAGAATTTTCCCCCCATGTTATCTGAATTGTCGGCCAGTGCTGGGGAGAAGTCCATTGCCAGAATAGCAAACCAAGAACCTGCATATTGGAAAAATGGAGCCCACACTTTTTGGACAAAGTCATAAAAAGCGAGCATACCTAAAACTGGCTAGCTAGAACCACAGGACCTGGGGGTGGAGATACTGGACTGCCCCCATGAGACCTGTTTGGCTAATAGCCACACAGAATCTATTTCTTACATCCCCTCCCCTTGTTTTAGTGACCTTGTACATAGGCAGAAGTCATCAAGGCTGCTGGAATCTGCGCTTTCCACAACACTATTTCCCAAAATGGGTTTTTGTAAGAGCAATTCCGCCCCCCCCCCCCGTGCTTCCTTCCTTACTAATAAGCAGAAGCCTTCTTCATTTGAGCCACATGGCAGATCCTTTTACTCAGAATCAGAATGGGGGGAGATCATGTAATGTAGAAATGGGATTTTAATGTACTTTAGTGATTATTAATAGAGAAGTCAGACGCACTAGTCGTCTTGGATTAGCTAGAAAGGGGTACAAGGGTGGATCCAGTCGCTACCTCTGCCTCACTAACCTGCATTCCTCTCCTTCCAGGAGCTTCCTGTAAGTGGCAATCTCAATATCCAGGGCCAGCTTGGTGTTCATCAGATCCTGGTAATCCTTCAGCTGCCGAGCCATGTCCTGCTTGGCTCTCTGAAGAGCATCTTCCAACTCGTTCAATTTCTGCCTTGCATCCTTGAGGGCCAGCTCGCCACGTTCTTCTGCCTCAGCAATGGCTGCCTGCAGATTGGCACACTACAGGGGGGGAAATGTCAATTAAATTTGATTGCAAATGCCTTGAGGAAGGGACCTGTCATTTATCCATGCTACTCCAGTTTGGTGTAGTGGTTAAGAGCGGTGTACTGTAATCTGAAGAACCAAGTTTGATTCCCCACTCCTCCACATGCGGCCAGCTGGGTGACCTTAGGTCAGACAAAGTTCTCTGAGAGCTGTTCTCTCAAGAGCAGTTTTCTCAGAGCTCTCTCAGCCCCACCTACTCACAGGTTGTCTGTTGTGGGGAGAGGAAGGGAAGGAGATTGTAAGCTACTCTGAGTAAAGGGAGGGGTATAAATCCAGTCTCTTCTTCTTCTTACTCCTCAAAACACCATTATCTTATGAGTGCCATATAAATAAAAAACTGATAAACAAATGTTTTATTTATGGTAAAAAAACACACCGGGTGATCTTCCTCTGTCTACCTTCATATTGCAATTCTGTTTGAGGAGACTCATACAACAAAGACATTTCTCTGTCAATAGAATAGCAACAATGGCTGATGGTAACATTTGAACTGTGGGCCTAAAACTGGTATGGATGCTGGGAGTGATGAAACATGATGACTAAGGTGCAGGATGGGATGGGAAGTCTACATGATAAATATGATCTTCCATACTCCTTTGGGATGGAACAGGAGCTTAGCTCCATTATGTGGTATGTATGTGGGGGAGAATAGTTTGCCCTCTTTCCAAATGCTAGACATATCCTCACATGGCCATTTTCAGCAATGTCCTACCTGCTTCTTCACATTGTCAATTTCAGCTCGCAGTCTCTGGATATGTCGGTTGATTTCGGTAATCTCATGCTTGGTGTTGCGGAGGTCATCACCATGCCTTCCAGCAGTAGCCTGGAGCTCTTCATACTGATATATGCAAGAAAAAGACACACAAAATGTTAGCATTTATTCTATTTGGAGCAAAAAGTTACTGTTTTAACTCAATAGTTATAATAATCATTTTCAACAGTATACGGTCCGGTATGAAGGCGTGCACTTCTTCTTTAATGCTTTTTTAGACAATTCAGATCTTTGATATACGGCAGATGGAGAACTGCAGAGCAAGAATATTCAACAGCAGAGCAAGGATATTCTGTAAATTTTACCTCCAGAGTAAATTATGCAAATTTCAAAACACTTCCAACTGTTATTTGGTCTACCAAACTGACCTCATTGGTATTATGAACACAAGCAGAAGCGGTTATGGCATATTTGTTAACTCACGGTGGTATTGTGCAATGATTGAATAATAGTGAATATAGCTGAGGGGAAGGAGAAATGATGATCAGTATATTGGGCTGGAGTTTGGGAATGGGCTCCATTAGGCAAGCTTCCCCAACCTGTGACTGTCATGGTGGATGCAACCCACAAGTCATGAGTGGAGGCCCGTTACAAGCCCAGTACATATGCTATGTTGCTGCTCTACTGGGACTGCCTTCTGGAGTATACAGCAGACCACAGTCCATGGCCGATGGGCTGTATTTGTCGCAAGTTATACAGGTTTTAGACCTCTGAAACAAAGCCTTATGTGATAATGCCTTTATCTTTTTAAACTCAGCTCTGCATCCAATATATTCTTTATCTTTGTTTGCTTAATTAATGTTGAGATTCTCAGAGATCTACTTGGGTGGGAACAAACCACACAGTTCTGGCAATCCATATGTTACCACTGCAGCCCCAAGTGTACTAATATATGAATCAGGCTTGGATTTACTGCTCTCTTAGTAGCTTAAATAAAATAAGTGCTAGAACTGTGTTTCACTAGATATGGGTTCTAGAAATTATCTGTTACTTAAGGCTCTTTACCTTGCTTTGGTACCAGGATTCAGCCTCAACTCTGCTCCTGTTTGCAATGTCTTCATACTGACTTTTGACTTCAGCAATGATGCTATCGAGGTCCAAGTTGCGGTTGTTGTCCATGGAGAGAACCACAGAAGTATCGGTGACTTGGGCTTGCATTTGGTCAAGTTCCTGAAGATGATACAATAATATCCCATGGGGGGGGGAACACACCATTTTATACACTAGAGAAAGGTATTAAATTCCCAAGGACAACAATTTTGCCCAGTCCTTACTTTATGCAAAGTTAGTAAACTTGCATTAACTTGCTTGTTTTGTATAGCTTATTCTGATTCCAAAATTTCTGTTTTCAAAGAATTTGGAGTTTTTATAAAATGTCATGGAAATGGTCAAGGAAAAATATATGAGGACTAGTGGTGTGGGCTGCTGGTAAAAAAGTAATAAAACAATACCAATGATAAGAAGCAGAAAGAAGGAACAGATGGGACAATTAAAGCCCACACTGTATCTATTGGAAATCCATATTACTTCCCTGTCCTCATGAAATTCCTTGAGCCCTTGTACATATATTTTCCAGCTCTTCTCCCTATCAATATGGAAACTGGCAGAATGATATTTCCGGGATGCTGAATCCTGTCCCAGATACCTGATTCTGTGTTTCTGTAGTATTTCATTTGACCGATAGAATGGGCTAAATAGAATTTAGCATTTTACATTGGTTTTCCTACGCATTTTTCAAAGGCTGATATTATTGCTCTGATATGTTTAGGAAGATTGACAATTTTTCATGGAATATTGATATTTATTAACCACCATGCTCAAAGAGTAAAGCTTCATGGTCACAGCATCAGCTTCTCTAAGCTACTCTTTTTTTCAAAAAATTCTTAACTTCCTTTGAAGTTCTTCAGAACTTCTGCATGAGCAGGAACCTCCAAGAATGTCTCAAATTCCACTGTAGCAGAAATTAAGTGGCAATACTATCGATGTGCGAAATACCGCTAGTTCTCTCCAGTCCCGTAGTTGCTTCCTTTGCATTTTCTTGCCCAAGCAAATTTACCCCAGGCAAAATCTGGCTACAGTAGGAAACTGTAACTCTGATTCTATGATTTTCTCAGTGTTATCCAGTGAACACTTAAAAAACTAGCTCCTCTCCATGGTAGAATAAGAGCTTGTATCCTACCACACTGCTCAGCAGAGTTTGAAGCCTTCCACCAACCTAAGGAACCTAAGAAGCCTTCCTGGCTCTTTCTCTAGCAGAAACCTAGATGAAAAGAACACTTCAGATTTTGCTGAGCGGAGTGTTAGGCTACAAGCTATTCCAATGGACCACTGGTCTCCCAGCCAGTCCATATATTCTAACAATATAGCATGGAACTGAAAGGAAAAAAGAATAGGAAGGATCCTCCTTACCTCTTGATACAGGGCTTTGAGGAAGCAGAGCTCATCTCTCAAGGAATCTGTCCTGGCCTCTAGTTCTACTTTGTTCATGTAGGCACCATCCACATCCTAAAAAGAGCAATTTATTGTTGAACTAGATGGTCAGAAGCAAAGGAAGAAGTTACAGAGGAGAAAGAATGACCCAGTTTATGCATCGATTAGTATTAGATTTTTCATTTCGTGAGCACTACGTGGAATGCAGTTCCATGAACATTTCAGCCACCTATTGGACAATCCTTTTGGCATTGCTAACGATGAGCGACACGTTCCTCATTTTGTGATCACTGTTTCAAAATCTCAAAATAGTATAGAAGCTGAGCACTCCTACACTGTAGGAGATGAAGAGGGGGGGTGCCAATGTGTGTAAAGTGCCATCAAGTTGCAGCTGACTCGTGGTGTCTCAAGAAAGAGGCTTTCAAGGCGATTGAGAAGCAGAGGTGCTTTGCCATTGCCTTCCGCTGCAGAGTCTTCCTTGGTGGTCTCCCTTCCAAGTAGTGACCTGCTTAGCGTACGAAATCTGACAAGATCAGGCTATACCATACTGCCTTCCCTCCCAAGTGCCAATATAGCCTTAAAAAAAAAAAGATGGGCACTATCACAACTAATCACTTCTGGACAACGGCAGTTTCCCAATGTTTCAGGAACCTGTAATTTTCTTTGCAAAGATATATACTCTTTGCAGGGTAGATGCAACCACGCTGTAACGCTGCAGTAAAGGAAGATAATCCATGAAACAATCTCTCCTGAAAAACAGTGAATGGAATTGCAGTGTTCAGAGACACTTACCTTTTTAAGGGTTACAAAGTCATTCTCTGCAGCTGTACGCCTGTTGATCTCATCTTCATATCTGTTAGGAAAAGAAAAACAAGGCTTCTTTAGCTAAATCAGAGAGACCAGGCTGCATCCCTCAAAGGAGTTTAGAATGAGGCCCTGTGTCCCAGCAGATTATTCTTAGAATGGTGGCTCTAAAGGTGACCAGTTTTTAGTGTTTAGTGCCTCAAGTGGCATAAGCACCTGGGAGCGAGGGGTTGTGCCACTCCCAGACAGGAACTCTGGAGGCTGGTGATGTGTTAAATCCTTGTCATGCCAGCGGGCATTACACATGAACAGGCTACCAGTTTGAGCAGTGGACAAGTTGTGATAATAAAACAGCCCTCAATTTTTATGCGTTTTACAAGAAAAAAAATACAAAAATGGGAGTGATTTAAGAGAAACAGAGTGAGAGAGAGATTTACTTGGTCTTGTAGTCCTCAACAAGATTCTGCATGTTATTCATTTCTCCATCCAGTCTTGCTCTCTCATTCTCCAGGTTATTCAGCTGCTTCCTGAGGTTGTTGATGTAACCCTCAAAGAGTGGTTCAGTGTTTTTTCTAACAATTTTCTGGCCTTGTTCCTGAAGCAGCGACCATTTAGTTTCCAAGACTTTATTCTGTTGTTCAAGGAAACGCACCTGGAAGCAAACAGATCCCCAAATGTTACTTATTCCTGTTGCATTACCACAAGAAGACAGCTTCTTTTGTCATGTTTTAGCAAGGTGAATGTGTGCATCCATAGTACAGGAAATAAAATCAAAACCCTGCACATAAACAGAAGGAAGTGAAAGTGGCAGCACACTGCGCATCTTTTCAATTCTGGAATTAATTTTCAAAATCCTCTTAGATAAATTGAAGTTTAGAAAAAAATAGATTCAGTGGAGAATTAAATTACGGAACAATATAGCAATGGAACAGAGAAAAGCTCTCTTCCCTTGCACAAAACATACTATAGCCCTCATGCAGAAGAAAGTAAAATGCTTCACCCAGCAAGGTAAAGCCACCAGGTCATCCCAAACTCCCTCAAGGGTATGTTTTGCTGCCACCAACTTGCAGGCTTTTTCTTCAGCTGCTTCAATGTCGTGGAACCAGGGGTCATTTCCTGTAGGAGCGCACAGGAGCGGAGCTCTGGCAGTAAAGAGCCCAGGGGGCGGGCAGATGCAACAAGCCCCACCCCCTGCTCCCAGCAGCCCTCAGTCAGAGCAAGAAGCAGCCAGGTAAGTTGCAGAGCTCCCCCCGGCCCAAAACAGTCCAATGGCACCTTTAAGACCAAGTTTTATTCAGGTACGAGGTCTCCCTCTGCGAGGACAGATCTGCCCGTTCTCCCCCCCCCCCCAATAGCTAGCAATCCAAAACAGTCCAGTGGAGCCTGAGCGGTGGGTGTTGCCTTCTGACACACTTCCGGTGATGTCAGGGGGTGTGGCATATGCAAATAAGTTATGCTAATTAGCTCCTGCATCACTTTTTCTACGAAATGACCCCTGCGTGGAACATTTCCCAAGAGGAAATCGAAAGATTTATCTCTCTCTTTGAACTTGTGGAGGGCTTGTAAAACACAACTTTGCAACCATAGAAGAGCCTTTAGTTTGTTGAGATAAGTATTTCAGGAAACAGCAGTCTCTGATACAACTTACTGAGCTTCCCCCCTGCTTGTTGTTTTAATTCTGCTCTTCTCTGAAAATACTAATTTTATTGTTGTTGCCTGCCTTGTGTCCTAGTTACCTGGGAGGAAGGTGGGCTTGCAAATGTTTTACATAAAGCAAAATAAATATTTAACACTGTAGCTTTATGCAAGGACCACAGCATAGCACTGCTTATCACCAGTGTCTCCTTCACATTGCACAGAGAGTCTCCGTGCCAGTTTCAGTTGCACCACTGAACTTTTGCAAGTGGTCTGGCATTCTTCTATAGAAAGTAAGGCATCCAGGAACTACACATTACAGCTTTCTTATCTGGAAGTTGTTACATGGCAACGTCTTCCAGCAGCCGCCTCAAGGAAGATATTTTATAGGATGACCGTAAGTTGGGGATGAGCAGTGAAGTGGCCATCTTAGTTGACTGCTCACACTTTTTCAAGTGGTAATTTGGTTATTCAAGTGTGGTGCAAAGAGTTCAATTCCCCCCCCCCCAATCTAGGTAAATGGGCAGTAGAATGAAAACATTAATGAACATTTCAATTTGTATGTGGCAGCAGTGAAAACAGCAAATCATATGCTGGGGATAATTGTGTGCTTTGTGCTGTTAAGTTGCTTCTGATTGATTTATGAATCCATGACCTCCAAAATGTCCTATTACTGAAAGTCTTGCTCTGGTCTTGCAAGATCCTTTACTAAGTCAATCCACCTCATGCTGGGTCTTCCTCTTTTCCTACTGAAATCAACTTTTCCTAGCATTTTCCAGTGAGTCTGTGGATAACTAGGATAGGATAGAATTGCCAGTATTATAATGCTCTTGCGAAAATCTACCCACATTTGTAATACTGTATACAGTTCCATCAATCAGTCCCTCCATCAGTCGGTCACATTTTTAAAGTCTATCTTTCCTCCAAGGCAGACAGAGTGGCATAGGTATGGTTCCCTCTCCCAGCTTTATCCTCACAGCTATCCTCACCCCAACTACGTTGTGATGCTGCTTCTTCCCTCTTCCTAAAATCTCTTTCTACACTGTCTATAATGAAAGAGTCTCATAAAACTTCATGATGCTGCAGCACCAGAAGAAAGTTTTAGTGGATAAGTGGATAGTTCATTCAGAAGAGTAGCTCAGATACTGAAAAGTCTTGCAAGTCTGGCTGAATACAACAGCCCCAGCCAGCTAGAAGGGAGAACCTGTGAATGGTCTACAACACCTCTAGATAGGAACTCCACCTGACCCTGAGTGAATATGCCCTCCAGTTTCCTGCTGGAAATAAGCTAATGAGATAAGTTAGTTCTTGTGGCCCTTTCTTACATGCTCAGGGAAATGCTGATTGCCACTTTGGGGTCAGGAAGCATTTTTCTCCAGGCCAGTTTGGCTGGAGATCCTGGAGGTTTTTTTGTCATCTTCTGGGCATGGAACAGCAGTCACTGGGGGTATGGAAGGGGAGGTAGTTGTGAATTTCCTGCATGACGCAGGGGGTTGGACTAGATGACCCTGGAGGTCCCTTCCAATTCTATGATTCTGTGATTCTATAACTGAATTCTAGAATTCAAATAGAAGCACACAGCTGTTAACTCTTCATTCTGTCTTTATGTTGCAGCAAGAATCTTGGTGCTTACAACAACAGCCATGAGGTAAAGTACATATTCGAATGCAAGACTAGTTTTTCTCCAGATATGTCATCAAAAAAGAGGGAGTCAGCACAGACAATTTACAGTTATGTCCATTTGGGGGGTATGTAACCTTTTGGGGGTATTACATTCAGAGTCACCTTCCTTTCAAGTAAATACTGTATTTATATTATACTATTTGTTTATTTATATTTATAAATCTGACTTTTAGACTGCCCTCCCCTGTGCACAGGGCTCAGGGCAGTAAACAACAATAAATACATTCATAACCAATTAAAACAATTCCAATAGATACATTCATAAGTCAATCAATCAATCAAGTCAGCCATTATTGGCATATAACATTCATAAGTCAATTAAAACAATTAGTCAATAAGCAATACAAAGGATTCCAAACAATTTCTGATGGTGCTTACAAATAAACCAATTTGTATCCTACCCCATGGGGGAGAGAATAAAGGACGACACCAGGCTAAATGGAACTGATGCTGTCCTCAACAATAGGCCTGGTTAGGGTTGCCAGCCTCCAGGTGGGGCCTGGAGATCTCCCGCTTTTACAACTGACCTCCAGCAGACAGAGATCAGCTCCCCTGGAGAAAATGGCTGCTTTGAAGGGGGGACTCCATGGCATTGGACCCTGCTGAGGCCCCACCCCTCCCCAAACCCCACCCTCTCCTGGCTCCACCCCCAAAGTCTCCAGGTATTCCCCAACCCAGACCTGGCAACCCTAGGCCTGGTGAACATCTCTGCCTTACAGGCCCTGAGGAACTGCATTAGGTCCAGCAGGGCACAGATGTTATACAGCAAAGAGTTCCACCAGGTCAGGCGCAGGGCCAAAAAAGCCCTGGCTCTGGTCGAGGAACAGATGTTTTTTGGGCCAGGGATCACCGTTTTTTTTCTCCCCAGAGTATAATGCTCTTCGGGGAGTATACCCGATACATTGGTCCCACTAGGGAATGTGTTTACAGTTTTATTTGACTTTACGCTTTGCCTGAGTCAATGGATTCCCTAACCAGGACTGAACTTCTTCCCCATTCCACCCTTGTCTTCTCCCATGTCTCTAAGTTTCTTGTTTTCTTTTATCTGGAGTAATTTGTCACAACATTTCTTTCAGCATCCATCCCACACCCCTCAATCCACTCGTACCACTCAGGGATAGAAGGAAAGGATTATCTCTCCCTTATTATAATTGAGTAAAGTAAAGGTAAAGGTTCCCTTGCTCGAAAGCCAGTCGAATCCGACTCTAGGGTTACGGTGCTCATCTCCGTTTCAAAGCCGAAGAGCCAGCGCTGTCCGAAGACGTTTCCGTGGTCATGTGGCCGGCATGACTAAACACCAAGGTGCACGGAACGCTGTTACCTTCCCACCAAAGTGGTCCCTATTTATCTACTTGCAATTTCTTGCTTTCGAACTGCTAGGTTGGCAGGAGCTGGAACTAGAGACAGGAGCTCACCCTGTCTTGCGGCACCCGGGTCTTGAACCGCTGAACTACTGACCTTCCACAGCCTGCAGTTCAGCGTCTTAACCACTTGAGCCACCGCAGTAGTGGGCACCAAAATTCTAAATTTGACCCCTTTAGTGTTAGGCCGGTGTAACTGTCACTTACCATATCTGCCGACCAATAGAAGCCCGGGTCCCGCCCACACCACCACTGCCGCACCCGCGAGTCAACCAACGCCATTTTAACTGTCGGCCCAGGACGACGAGGACTACGAGGGCCCTACAGTCGCCACTTCAGAAGGGGTGAACAAACCGGCCTTCCCCCGCACCCAGTCAACCCCAGACAACGGCGGCCGCCTCGCCCCCCACAGAGTCCCGGCTCCATCCCCCCCGCCGCACCGTTGTCTTCCTACTCAACGGGCTTTACTGCTAGTTTATTGATAAATTAGTTAGAAGTGGAAACATGGGGCGGGGCAGGTTAGGGAGGAGGGGCTGAGGGAATGCCAGATAAAACAAAAAAGCTGTCAAAAGATAGTGACAGACGGGGACAGCGAATATCCCTTGGGAAGCAATTCCATAATCTTGGTGCCATGACTGAGAAGGCCCTCTGTTGGGCTATCCAAAGAAGGCCTCAGAACAGTCCTTCAGATATTCTTTTTATTCTTCACAATCCCTCAGACTATAGTAGGCTGAGCAAAATCAGGTGCACCTGTCCAAAGTACCTGAAATTCTTTCTGTTTTCCCCTCCCCTTCTCCTACATCCAGAAAGCCCCTCCTTAGTTGACCACACCCTGTGAGGTAGGCTACACTTGAGAGATAATATTTGCCTAATTCCATTTTATCAAGAAGGATATACAAGAAAAAGAACAGAACAAGGAAGCCAGAATGATCAAGATGCTGGAACCTTTCCTGTATGAGAAAAAGTTAAAGCGCTGGAAACTTTTCAGTTGTTGTTGTTGTTTCAATTTGTATCCCACCCTCCCTGTCATGGTGGGCTCAGGGCGGCTTACAGAATATACATATATTAAAACAACACATATATTAGGAAAACACAAAAAAGGGGTAAAATGCCTTCAGTTTATAAAATTATGTGCAATGTGGAAAAAGTGGATGCTGAGGTATTTCTTCTCAGTCTCCATAATACTAGAAGTTGGGGCCTTCCTGTCAAGCTTGGTCCCTTTATCCTGCCTTCCAGTGTGAGATGGGTCATGACCAGAGACAGAGTTTTTTCAGTGGTGGCACCATGCCCGTGGAATGCCCTTCCTCATAAGGCTCGCCTGGGACCTACCCTACTTGTCTTTTAGGAACCTGGCTAACCGAAACGTTTCTTTTTAGCTAGGCTGTGAATTGAATGGTTGATCCTTTAACCTGTTTTCTAGTATGCTTTGGCCTGAGAAGTGTTTTCTGTGACCCATTTTAAGATGTTATATGTTTTAGGCTGTTTTTAAGCTCTTGTGGGATTTTTCATGCTGGGTTTTAAATAGTTTTTAAAGTGGTTATGACTTTTTTGGCATTATGTTTTTGTTATCTTTGTAAGCTGTCTCAAGCAGGCTCTATGGAGAGGCAGCATAGAAATCATCAAATAAATTGGTTGATTGATAGGAAGTTCATGACAGACAAAAGGAAATATTTCTTCACAGATCATAAATATTCCCCTGGACTCACTGCAGGCCTCAGAAAAAGGACAGCACCAACTGCTGAAGGAATACCAGAGGGTTGGAGAGGGGCTTTAATGTCTCTTTAATAAACCCTTGCCCCTGTCTTTGTCACTTCACTGCCAAGAGATGAATTATATTCCTTGGCATCTTTCTGTATTGTTGCAACCAACTCTAAGTGAGAGAAGAGGACTGAACCAATGACAGAGAGAAAGAAGAAGAGATTGGATTTATCCCCGCTCTTCACTACTTGAAGGAGTCTGAAAGCGGTTTACAATCTCCTTTCCCTCCCCCTCCCCACAATGGACACCCTGTGAGGTAGGTGGGTCTGAGAGAGCTCTGGGAGAACTGCTCTTAAGAGAACAGCTCCAAGAGAGCCATGACTGACCCAAGGTCACACCAGCAGCTGCATGTGGAGAAGTGTGGACTCAAACCTGGTTCTCCCAGATTAGAGTCTGTGCTCCTAACCACTACACCAAACTGGAACGACAACAGCAAAATGGTGCAATGGGAAAAAGAATGTAGGAACTGCTATAGACTATTATACAGATCCCTCTGAAGAAGTGTAGGTGAAACGCATGGTGATAGTTTAACAGAATAAAACCATTATTCCCCCCCATTGTACCATTGTTTTTTGTTCTTTCACTATAAACATTTTGGAAATCATTTGATCAAAAGGTGGAACAGAAATCTCAAAATAAAAGTGCATAATGAAAGGAGGTTAGGCAAACTCACGGAGGTCTATCAATTGCTGTTGGCCATGAGGACTAAATGGAACCTCCATGCTCAGAAACAGTATGCCACTGATTACCAGTTGCTGGAAGTTAACTGTAGAAGAAGGCATCTTCTTCTCAGTGAAAGGAGATTGTCCCAGTGGAAGAAGGTACCTTCTCTACCTGCTTGCGAGCATCCCAGGAACATCTTCTGGGCCACTGTGGGATGCAGGATGCTAGACAAGGTAGACTTTTGGTCTCATCTAGCATGGCTTTCTGAGGTATCCCATCACAATCAAGAGTAGATTCATGCATTGGATTTTGTTTCATTTCATATGTTTTTATTCATCCCAAAAGTGTCTGTTTCAATGAAGCTCTCTCTATCCCCTTTCTAGAGAACACAACTTGTGTTCTTTATTAGAAAAACACTGGCTTCCTCATAAAAGTGAAACTACTAGAGTCAGAGAAAGAGGAGACTGCAATAATGAAAGAAAGAGACCAAAACAAAAGACAATCATTTCCCCCCCCTGATACGTACTGTTTAGACAGGCAATTATTTTGTTTACACGGTAATTATGCTAATTAAAACACCTCATTTTGTAATTATTGTGATTAATAAGAAGAAATGTACAGGTCTAATCAATAGCCTTACCTTACCTATACAATTTGTTAAATATTCATAGATGATGTATATTAAGAAAGTATTCTTGAGCTGGTTGCAAAAAATCTACGGAACTTTCTGGGAAATTCACTAAGCCTGGGATGGAAATTTCAGAAGAATATCTATAATCCATCATGGCTGTTGAGATCTGGGCTAAGCTGATAAAACCGAAAGTCGTCCCATGATTGCATTTAGATGTTTTAATTTTAAATTTTCA